CTTCGCTTGGTCTGATTTCTTCGGTGAGCAGCCTAATATACTTGATATACTAAAGTCTTTCCAGAACTTTCTCGGGCGATGAAGGTGTGTCAAATCTTGCGAAGGACAGCTCGGGACAACTTCGATTGCATTTTACAGTTGAAACCGCATTTTGGGAGGTTTGGTGAAATCCATGCTCATCGTATTTCTGCTCGCTGGCGTCCGCGAAGTTTGATGAAGATGAACTTGACGAGTGACTGTCTGATCTCCTTTAGCCTCGAACACGGCGGCGATAGTTTCCGTCAGTAAACATTTCTTCCCACACGGCGCTGAGTCCCCAGAAATGTCCGTGGGTCTGATCATGGATACTACGGGCAATCTTTACGAAACAACTGTTCATCGATATGTTGTGACGAATTGAGTTTTCCCAACTCGGGTTTTTGTCTCGATAATACGGGAAAGTTGACTTAATGTACCCATATATGTCCTTAAGTGTCGCTTTCTGATTGTGATGTGACCGGATAGCCATGTTGATAAGGGCTACAAAGCTGTACGGTGGACGGTCAGCGCCATATTGATGGTTGTTGATATCATCGGCGGCGACGTGAGTGTTGTTATGGTATGGATGGAAAGCATATGTACGCCGTGTGTTTGAGTAGATATCGTCGGGAAATAGAGAGTTGGAATACATGGTCATTGCTGGTGTGCGCAGACTGATGTGGTGTTTGCTAAACGTATCGCCTTTTATACAAGTAGATTCTCACGTATTTGCATCTCAATACGCCGTCTCATTGTTATAAAATCGCGAGACGTACGACTGGACAATGGACGCTGGATACGAGTAATCATTTTCAGCAAAAAAAAACAATAACTGCCCATTTCAGTGGGACACAGATCTAAAATGGGAAACGTGAGGGTGGGCATTGCACAGGCACTTTAACAAGCATGCCTAATTCTGGGAGGCACTTATAGACAATTTGTTTTCCCACATCTATTGTCTGATCCACACCTTTGGCAAAATACGCCGTTCATAGTCAATTTGACTTTAAACATGGTGGATATTGGAAAATTAAAATACCCCCACCTTATTACGACAAGAACACAACCAAAAATAAATAACATGTGTGTGGTCGGTAGTTCCGACCAAAGACGTTTCGGTCACACACATGTATTGTATATTACCGACTGAGTTCTTACCGTTATATGTATTTATCTATTTCTAACTCGTATTTTTCGAGTACGACGTATTTATATTTAGTTATTTAAATTTGTTTACTAATAACAGATTTATACCGATCTCCAAAATATAATTAATTCGTCCATGCAACGTACGAGTTACACCTAGATAATTAGAAATTCACAGTTCGTGTCACGTACAGAATATTAGCATAGCAACGATATATCTTGGAAAGCGATGGAATGAAGCAATTGCGGCTGAATAGAACTGATCTTGATGGGGACGTTTTGTCCTATTTGTCATTTGCCTTGGGAACTTTTTTGAGAACTGGCATGGTGTAGTCTACTGTTCATGGTGTTAGACTACGAATGTCGTACTTTGTCGACAAAGATGCCACCAGTTCACATATCTAACGACCTGTTTTTCGCATATATTCACTCATTCATGTGCGAGACATTGGAGTCGTCTGTGAGACAATTGGTTACTAGTACTCGTGTTTTTGTCCGACAGACTTCAATCACATCGAAGGAACTGTCGTTACCAATCGTCGTTACAATACATAATATTTCTTTGACAGTACCTTTTTAATTTTAGATGTAAACACACAACTGATACTCGTTTTGTTTATTTATAGCCGTTAATAATGGCCGCCAGACTGTAATTTTCAAGAGCGTTGAAATGCATTCTATTTGTCGACAAACATAACGTCATCTGGCAAAGTGAGTATGAGTTGTGAGATGAGTTCAATAAAAATAATTATTTGTGAAGAACCTAGATAAATTTCCGTCATGTTTTTGAAATGTCAACTTATTTCCCAGTCAAATAATATAATGATAATGAACTTGGTGGTAGGCATCTCAGTGTGTCGTATGGTGGGCTCGTTTAAACCTTCCATGGTGATGCTAGACGGCACTTTTCAAACACTATTGTTATTGTTTTTCGGTCGTCTGATATCTTCACACGTATTATGGTATCGTTTTCAAGGACACCGTAATTTTGACAAGTATCCCAGACTTCATAGAGTCTGACAACTCATCCCTCGATAATTTGCCGGGAATCGAAAGACCGCGCTCCATCAAGTGTCAGACAAAATCATAGCGCGATAAATTGAACGATACATGTATCACAAAAAAGTATTCCCATATTTGTATTGACACTAATATGTTATAAAGGAATATCTCTTGCTTCCACATTTTGTTGACTGTCGTGGATATGTACGTAACTGCAACGGTTTTGATTTGTACATGAATGTTATGTATTTTTTATCTCGAAAATAGATATAGTAGCCGATGTATAATCTAGCCGATTAAGCAACAGAGTAACAAAATACTTTCTGTTAATGCTCCACATTAATTCCCTGTAAAAATTATATTCTGAATGTTATTGGACCGTTTATGTTCACGAACTGTATATACTGTATATGTGTTTGGTGTGTTATGCCTTTATATTTATGCTTAGAATGTGAGATACTGTGTTCATGTAGAATCATGTACCGATTTAGCGCCCTCGTGTATCACCTTGTGCAAAATGAATTCTAAATTGTATTTTATATCAGCCTCATCATTTGTGATTCTCTGGCGCGCCATACATAGTAAAATCTAAAGTCGTAATAATTCACTTCATATCGGTAACATCCGGTCATTCGGTCCTACGCGGTTTTCATTTTAGTTAATTAGGCCACATAAATTATATTATTATACATCTGTCACCGTGACGCCATAAGCTACAGCTTGCCGTAATTTTGCGGTATTTACGGGGAATTTTCATCCTACTATATAAGGAAATGCGAATTCCAAATATGGAACGATTACGCGCGTAAGCGTCCTCTAATAATAAACACAAACATGGCTGTCACCAAGGTTTGGCCGGACTCCACGCTATGAAGTTCGCCTATTCTGTTCTAAACTTTTCGTATTTCGGCATTCCCATGATGTATCCTCGGAAGGAAAAGATGTATAATGATAAGCTCTTTACAAGTATACCTCAAAGTATGCACTCAGACAATACGCCATCGCATCGACCTCCGCTGTGCGTCGGTCGATACTTCCGCTGTACTGACTTCGTGCATACCGGTACTTTGAGGTATCCTCGTAATAACCTCATATTATTATGCGCCCTATTCGTTGCATCACGTTGTTTTCGATATGGGTGTCATGCGATGTATAACGAATTCGAAAGCGCAAATATGACTTTTTGTGGCAAAAATATCAGCCAATATGTGAATATCTTCAATATTATATATTTAAATACGTTATTTAATGTTTGAAATTTGAGTATACCAATTACTACATAAATGTGTAACGACAGTGCCGAGAATTTGTTGTTGTTGCTGAGCTGAAAAAAATACAATTTAGAACCCCCTCCCCGAATTTAAAATAGCTCACCCGTAGTCATATCGTGTATGTTTGGGCATATGGAATGAAAACGCTATCTCATTGTCATACACTAGGTCTCGCTTTATACGTCACAGGCCGTATTATATTTGTAATTCAACGCAATGCAGAAATCAAACTGTAATTAACCCGTACTATAATTTGTAAAACCGGGTGTTTATTTCTCCGAATACTTGACGCATACGTAGAATTACACACTCTTTGTTCGGCGTATTTCCAGGAAATCATTGCTCATTTTAATGTTTTTATCCGCCTAGGGGGTCCTGTCTTCATGACACGACATTCCACAGTGGAACCTAGTCGAAGTTGTCGTAAGAGAATTGGTGAAACTTTATGTTTTGAGGTTAGTGAACACTCGGATATTTTTGCACTACACTTGGTGGCATTCGATGTGCACCGACAAGGTGTTTGATAGGCGCGCTGATCCTAAGTTCATGCACAGGGAGCCCAGGAACTATAATCAACTGTAATACGCAGTCTCTATGAGCGGGGGGGGGGGTATCGGCTGGTATCTAGTGTAAGAAATAGACAAGGGGTGAAGGCTCCAGCCAGCTCACATTTTTTAAACTCGAAAAAACAGACGAAAAAAATAAAAAATAAAATCTAAAAAAAATACCAGGTTGAAGAATATTAGTTGCTCCTTCGAATTTCGCCAAAGCCTTACCTACATTTTACCGATATCTGCAGAATAAATCAAGAAAACTACACAAATTGACTCCATTTAGGAATTCCTAACGGTTAGTCCGAACG